TTTTTTTTTTTTTTTTTTTTTTTTTTTTTTTTTGAACTATAAGTTATTAAAAGATTTATCGTTTTTAAATTCTTAACCTTTTACTTTTTTTTTAAATTCATCTTCACCATCTTTTCTCTTTAACAAACTATTTTTTTAAAAAGTAACACATTTAAGAAGATATTTTAGACTGTATTAAAGATTTCTACTTTTATTTTTCTGCTATTTTCAGAGCCTCAAAACTTAGAGGTTTTGGGAACAAATGATTTTTTATACCATCTCTTTTTAATGTCGACAGTTTCATTTCATTTTTTTTTTTTAAACAACCCTTGACTTCTTCTGAAGGCCATAAACATCAACAAGGAGAAGCCAGGATTTCTAGGTCCTGTAACAACTATCGAACCACTCTTTCCTCCGCTACCTTAGCCGATAATCGCTTAGGCAATCGAAACAGACTTGCAGAGTGTACCGTTACCTTTTGTATGCTGGTTAACTAATTTAATGATAAAGAAATAAAGTTCCTACCTCAAAGCGTGTATCAAAAAAGGCCAAAGAAGCCTAGAATCAGTTTGGCACCAAACTACCAATCGCTTATAGTACCACGGAGTAGGAAAATAAAAATTACTGTTGTCAGTTCTCTCTAATTCCCATTAGCTAACTTCATGCGGTCGATTTATCCTACAGCGCTCGAACAAGACGATCTGAGATACAAATGCGACTAACGACTAAATTTAACGGAGGGGAAGTCGGAAACCTACCAAAATTGTTCAGAAAAAAATTTGAATTTGTGTTTTACGCATGAGCTACAACTATAGTAGCATTCCAAAAAGCTGGATTTTTCTTCACCGAACACCGAACACACACACAGAGAACCCGAAGACAAAATTCCCGTATTAATAACAAACCTTGTACTTTTCCTATAAAAGTACACTCGACACACATTTTAGAATTACATCATCAGTAAATTAGGGCATTCAAAAAAAAGGAAATATTCGTCGTCACATAAAAAGGCTCAAACTTCTACATAACTTTGATTATATTGTATAGTAAAACACCTTCAGCAGGGGGCTTTCATTGTTTTCTTTGCCGAGTACTCATATTCTTTTAAAAACCACAGTCCTCGAAGAAGAAATGATTGGTGGCCAATTCCCTGTCATCTTGGAACGACATAGTCCGTTGCCGACTGTCAGGAGGAATTCGGATGCCTTTGTTGGTGTTTATGACTACTCACCAATACCAAGCAAGGCTGACCTGCCGTCACCGTTGGTGCTAATGACAATAAAAAAGCAATATTGCTTGATTTTAAGCTGTTTTGAGTCATAAACAATTTTTTGGTCTCAAAAAGAAATTCTGTTTAAATTGGCAGTGTAGACGCGCCTTAAGATAGTAAATAAAAAAATAAAAGGCAGTAGTGTTTCAAAAAACCTGCAAAAATTTTTGCTTTTAAATTTGAAAGTTTCATTTTTGGTTTGGAACGCGATGTCTGATGAGTTAGACCCAACTATTAATGGACGTCCAATATCAGAACTTAAGGTTGTTGAACTGAAGGAAGAGCTGAGCAAGCGTGGCTTATCTAAGGCTGGAAACAAGAACGTTCTGTATGATCGCCTGAAAAAAGTAACAGTTTTTAAAACTATTTAGTTTGTTAAAGCTTTGATAGTTTTATTTCGCTTTTTAATTATTGTTTTGAATGTACAATAGATGTTTTTGTAGCATAAGCTTTGTATTCTTTTAACGCTTAGGCACCACTTCGTTATTACGTTGTATATGGCCATTGTTTGCAGTGGTCATTTCTGTCGTTTTTCGTTATTGTTTTTATTACCATTATTATTTTGCAGCAAATAAGCATTCAATTGATATCGATTAAAGGACACCTTTTTAACCTACTTTAATTTTTCAAAAACTTTATACAACCGTTGAGGAGCTGTTCTACTAAAATTTTTGTCCATTGTTTCTTTTGATGTCTTTGATGATTTGTTGAAAAACGCAATTTGCTCTATAAAGGTATCTATCAGCCTTCATTACTATTCGTGCCTCTTGCTTACAGATGCGTATCTTTTCAGTTTCTTCTAAATGGTAGCGGCGATGCAAACGTTACAGCAGAATTTCCGGATGCTTCTCAAGCACATGATACGGTAATAAGTTTTATTTCATTTTTTCCTACCACTTTATAATGCGTTTTACAGTTTCTTATTGGAACTCCTTTTGTTTGATAACTTATGTGTTTCTAATAGAGCATTGGTTTTTTTTTCTTTTACAATCACCAACGTCACGGTTGTGCGCCTCCATTATCATATCAACCATTTCTCTGTGTACGAGGCTGTAGTGGTCGAAAATTCTTAATAACTTTTATTTTGTTGTTTTCTTTAAAGTGATTCATGGTCTTACTGGCTAGTTCCTTGAGTAAGGTTTTTTTGATTTTTTTGATATTGAAGTTGTAATAGTTTTTATTCACTAAATTTGTGAAAGTAGAATAAGCTAGTGATTTAATTTATATATTCATAAATTATCACTTCCACTTTTTTAAATTACGTTCTTAGGTGCCCACTTATGTTTTTTTTTTT